GGTGCCTGCCACACCACCGGGCTGTTTTTTTTGTTACAGTTGTCATCATTTAGCAGGCCCAGGCCAGGTTCAAACCCACCAGTCTCGGTGTATGTGGCTGGCGCCATAACCACTGTGCTATGGGTGCCGAGACAATACTGCACTTATTGTTAACAATACTGTACTGTGCACTTAAAAATTTGTTAAGAGAGCATATCTTATGTTAAATGTTGTTACTACAATTTTTTTTTGAGACAATGCCCCACTCTGTCATCTAAGCAGGAGTGCAGCAGTGTCACCATAGTTCACGGCAGCCTCAAAGTCCTGGGCGCTAGAGATCCTCCTGCCTCAACATTCTGAGTAGCTGAGATTATAGGTCTGTACCACCATGCCCAGCTATTTTCTTTTTTATCTTTTGTTGAGATGGGGTCTTGCTGTGTTGCCCAGGCTTGTCTCAAGCTCCTGGGCTCTAGCAAGCCTCCTGCTTTAGCCTCCCAAAGTGCTGGGATTATAGGTGTGAGCCTCCATGCCTAGTGCCACAATTTTTTTTCATGTTTCTTTCAGGTTTTTTTTTTTTTTAGAGACAAAGTCTCACTTTGTCACCCTTGGTAGAATGCTGTGGTGTCAAAGGTCATAGCAATGTCCAACTCCTGGGCTTAGGTGATTCTCTTGCCTCAGCCTCCCCAGTAGCTGGGACTACAGGTGCCTGCCACAATGTCTGGCTATGTTTTTGTTGCAGTTTGGCCAGGGCTGGGTTTGAACGGGCCTCCCTCCATATATGGGGCCAGTGTCCTACCCACTTAGCCACAGGCACTGATGAGGTTTTTTTTCTTTAATTCTAAATTAATATTAGGTTACAATGTTTGCATAGTGCCACAATATTTTAAAAAAGCATTAAAGTTACCTACTTGTATATTTATATATCTGTGCATATTCAAATATATACAAACAAATGAATGTTAATAGAGCCATTACTATTTTATAATGTTATAAAAATAACAAACTAAAGAAGTAAAATTGGAATTTGGATCTGTTATATAAAATGATTCAGTTATTTTATACCCAGATTAACAGAGGTACTTTTATTTATTTATTGAGCCAGAGTTTCACTTACTAACCCTTCGTAGAGTGCTGTGGTGCCACAGCTCACAGCAACCTCCAACTCCTTGGGCTTAGGCGATTCTCATGCCTCAGCCGCCTGAGTAGCTGGGACTACAGGTGCCCACCACAATGCCCTGCTATTTTGTTATTGTTGTTATTGTTGTTGTCATTGTTGTTTTTTTAGCAGGCCCAGGCTGGGTTGGAACCCACTAGCCCCAGTGTATGTGGCCAGTGCCCTAACCACTGAGCTACGGGTGCTGAGCTACATTTGACTGTTTATGTTATTAAGGAAGTCTGTAAAATTTACCTTTTACCCAAAAACTTTACAGTCCTTATCATTCATACTCCTAAGGAAAAAAGAACTAATGGAACTGTAAAATTAAAATTAACAAAGCTCCCGCAAAATCCTATCATTAGCTTTAGTCTATATAAGTCCAACCCCGTCTTGGAGCCACAATTTATGTCTTTATGAATTAATAAGAGATCACCCGGGTGTGGTGGCACATGCCTGTAACCCCAGATGCTTGGGAAGCTGAGATGGGAGAATTGCTTGAGCCCAGGAGTTTGAAGCCACAGTGAGCTGTGATGGTGCCTGTGGATACCCACTACAGTGCTGCACTCCAGCCTGGGCAACATAGCCAGACTAGCTTCCCCTCTGAAGCAAAGGCCTGCCTGTGTGTTTGAATATTTCACCACCAATCTTAGACTATATCCTATTATAATTACGATGAAATATGATTGAGAATTGCAAGAAAATCATACAGTACCTCCAGCTTTATCATCAACATTTCCAAACCACACACCTATGCCCAACAATAGGAGATCTAATGTTCTGGAAACAACTTCACAAAAACTGTCCTTGGACCTTATCAGATATTGTTAATAACTGACACAGCAGTAAAACTCCAAAGTATAGATCCTTAGGTTAATATTTCTCAGCTCAAAAGATATAGTACAACACTTCCTCTTGACTTTTGGGCATGCCTTCATTTGAGGATCTTAAAATGAGGTTCTTAGGTGTTTTCCTGACTTCTCAGAGGTGGACAGCTTCTGGCAAGACTCAGTCAAGATTAACATTCTGACTTAACACCCTTCCCTACCTATTATTCTACTTTGCTTTTTATTCTTTGAAGCCACCTAAAACATTAATGTTATCGCCCTTATTTTCATCTTACTACTTCTGACCTCCTATGTTCTCCCTCTCCCACTTAATAGAAAACTTAATTTTCTTTTACCTTTTTTTCCCAGACCACTGCTACTGCTCTGAATCTAACAACCCTGCTGACAAAACTTTAATAACTGTTCTTTTAAAATAAGCTTTACAAGGCAAATTCCCCCTCCCCTTTTTTTTTTGAGACGGATCCTCAAGCTGTCCCCCTGGGTAGAGTGCCATGGCATCACGCTCACAGCAACCTCCAACTCCTGGGCTCAAGCGAGTCTCCTGCCTCAGCCTCCCAAGTAGCTGGGACCACAGGCGCCCGCCACAGTGCCCGGCCATTTTTTGGTTGCAGCCATCATTGTTGTTTGGCGGGCCCGGGCTGAGGATTCGAACTCGCCACCTTAGGTGTATGTGGCTGGCACCTTAGCCGCTTGAGCCACAGGCGCCAGCAAATTCCCCTTAACAGGCTCCTATGGTTATTATGTTTCCTTTACATCATTCATCCCAACCTCAGGATCCCAGTACTGAACCTTGACTTCATGCCAACAAAATGCTTCTGCTGAGGCCATTACAAAGCCAGCAGAAAAGGGCTAATATTGGGCTATTCTGACTGCCATAGTTGTTTGCTTTCTAGATTACCAGATACTTAAAAATACCATCCCGCAGGAAATCATGTTTTCTTAGAAAAGATACACAGAAGATTCTTAAAGGAGGACTATACAGATACCCTGGAACAATTTCCCGGAGGGATAATTGATTTTCTCTGTCATATAGGCTACAGTCCTCACAGTGGTAATAAAACAAGTTATGTGTATATGCTGCAAAAACTGGCAAAATTGAAGGGAGAAGTAGTTCTATAATAACAAAATTTGGCTGTCAATAATGGAAGGGACAACCAGACAGAAAAGAAATGGTGAACTTGGGTGGCCCATGTGGCTCAGTGAGTAGGGCACCAGCCCCATATACCGAGGGTCGTGGGTTCAAACCTGGCCCCGGCCAAACTGCAACACAAAATAGCTGGGTGTTGTAGTGGGTGCCTGTAGTCCCAGCTACTTGGGAGGCTGAGGCAAGAGAATTGCTTTAATCCAAGAGCTGGAGGTTGCTGTGAGCTGTGATGCCATAGCACTCTACCGAGGGCGACAAAGTGACACTCTGTCTTTTAAAAAAAAAAAAAGGGTGAACTTGAACAACACAGTGATCCAGCCAGAACTCAGACATATGCAAAAAAGTCTATCTAACAAGAACAGCATACACATTTTTTTCAAGGACACCACTTTTCAGTTTCCCTTATCCCTGCTGCTTACGACTGCCTCACGCAGACCCATGTCATTCCTCAGGATGATCCTCTTTGCACTGTAGACCCCACCTGTGCCCTGGGCCCATCTTTCCGCCCCCACAGAGTCCTGGCCTGAGTGAGGATTGCTTCTTTCTGCTGCACTCAACTTCTCTCCCCATCCACTGCATCTCAGTGGGTAAACACAGTAAGATGTGTGCATTTTCAAGGCTCTCCCCTGCGGTTCCCACCGGACTTCTGTTGTTAGTCTTAGGCAGCTAAACCACAATCTTGGTTCATCTTCTTCTCAGCAACTGCTTTTGCAATAAAGAAATAGATAAATGGGCCAGGTGCGGTGGTTCCCGCCTGTAATCCTAGCACACTGGGAGGCCAAGGCAGGTGGATTCCCCTAGGTCACAGGTTTGAGACCAGCCTGAGCAAGTGCAAGACCCAGTCTCTAAAAAATAGCTGGGCGTGTGGTGGGCACCTGTAGTCCCAGCTACCAGGGAGGCTGAGGCAAGAGAATCACTTGAGCCCAAGAGTTTGAGGTTGCTGTTAGCTATGATGCCACAGTACTCTACCCAGGGTGACAGAGTGACACTGCTCAAAAAATATGTATACATATATGCATATTGTGTATATATATACACACAAAATATGTATACATATATATAAAATATGCATACATATATATGTATATACATATACAAAATATGTATACATATGTTTTCTCAATTAGATCTGGACATTTTATCTTTCCTACCTCAAGATGTTTAAAACTCAGAATGACAAACTTACAATGTATAGTGAGAAATACAATTATTCAGAAGTCCAGGTACTTGTCCTGTGCATGGTGCCATCGCCTCCCTGCGGGCAACTCTGCATGAGAACACACCTTGACCCAGAGGCAGCCTCCTGAACCTGGACCCTGGTCTCAGAGCCCAGTCTAAATGGGCCGCGAGCATCTCAACAGAGACTGAGCCCTGCGATCACCAGAGACATGTGTAGTCTCCGAGCTCCCCAACTTAGCAGAGAAGAGCAAACCACCAGGTTTCCATGACTTAGTAGGGGTGAAGGCATGATCTTCGGTCAGGGACATCACTCTCTGTCCAGACCCTGGCAGCCTGAGCCTCCCAGAGTCTGGGGGAACTCGGTAGCCACAACAAGATTAAGCAACGCCAGGAGGGGAGAAGAAGGGAGAAGAGCTTTGCCGTTTGGGCACATGGCTTTTCTCCCAAGTGCACTGCCAGCGCCCTGCCACCTAGCAGAGGTGTGCAGGTGGGGATGGGGTGGCGGCGCCAGGGAGGGATGCGAGCCCTGCTCGGCTTCTGGGAGCCCAGACCTCACTCTCTGAACCCTGGGGGCTGGTGTGCTGCAGCCATTCAACTCTTTTCTGCCTCAGAGGCTCCGGCGCCCTGCCCCACCCCCAACCCCGTCCGGGTCTCCTGCGTCTGCGCAGTTCGGGAGACGCGTCGGAAGTGACGACTATTAAGACCAGTGGAACGCAGCTGGGCCTAAAGGGATTACCCTCCTGGGCGCCGGGAGAAAGTCATAGCCCAGCTCCGCTAAGGCCTGTCCTCAGAGTCCACGGCACCCTGCACCATGCCAATGACCCTGGGTTACTGGGACATCCGCGGAGTGAGCGAGGGTCCGCTTGGGCAGTGGCACTGGGGCGCAGAGGCCGGCAAGAGTTGAGTAGCTGGGGCACCGGTTCTGGGGATGATGGCTCTTGAGGGCGCGGGAGCCGCTGCCCGTCCCTCTCTCGAGGGCCTGCGCATGGCCTGGGGTACTGCTGAGTGTAGGTGTAGCGAGGGGGCTCGCGTGGCGTAGGTAAAGTCACGAATCGGGGACCCTCTATCTCTGACCTGGGTCATGTTTCCCAGCTGGCTCACGCCATCCGCCTGCTCCTGGAATACACAGACTCCAGCTATGAGGAGAAGATATACACGATGGGGGACGGTATGGCAACTGTAGTCCGGACCTCAATTCAACTGCTGAGTTGACACCAGCCATGGCCAGCTGTGTTCCCTGTGCACCAGCCTGGCCTTCCCTAAAGCCCTCTGTGGGGACAATCAGGTCTTCTGTCAGGACACTGGGAGGGGATTGCTGGGCACTGGTGCAGGTGGTTGGCTGGGTTGCCCCTTAGAATTTGTCCGTGGAAGCCTTAGAGTGGTACAGAATCCAGAGCCCTTACAGGCATTCTGCACCCCCCATCCCCCACACTTGGAATGGGGGACTGAGTGCTCAGATTCTAGATTCAGCTGTCTGAGGGAGTTTTGCCTCTGATTCCTTGAGAGGGTCCCCAGGAAAGGAGAGCTGGACTCTGGGGAAGTTTGTTTTTACTCATGTTCTCCACCACAGCTCCTGACTATGACAGAAGCCAGTGGCTGAAGGAAAAATTCAAGCTGGGCCTGGATTTTCCCAATGTAGGTGCAGAGGAAGGGAGGGTTTGGGGGAAGGTGAAGGTGTCCCTATGTCTCCAGGTGAAACCGGGGTTTCAGAACAGGTGCGTTCTCCTCCATTACTGTCATCCTTGGTCACTACTCCGCCTTTCCATGATGACCTGTTTCCAGGTCACTCATCCCTTTGACAGTATTCTTACATAGGGCCTGCGGTGGGCAGGCACAGTGAGTGCCAGGTGTCACGCTGCCCTTGCTTAAGGGAAGGGATGGTGGGAGCCTGGTGTCCCACGTGAACTCCCTGGTCACCCATCCAGCTGCCGTACCTAATTGATGGGCCTCACAAGATCACCCAGAGCAATGCCATCCTGCGCTACATTGCCCGCAAGCACAATCTTTGTGAGTGGGGCTGGCTGCAGGCTGGGGTGGGGCAGTGGCCATCCCCCCAGGCTTGTCATGGGTGAGATGCTGATGGGGAGTTTCTATTGTGTGGGTGCCAGGTGGAGAGACAGAAGAGGAGAAGATTCGTGTGGACATTTTAGAGAACCAGGCTATGGACACCTCTAATCAGTTGGCCACAGTGTGCTACAGCCCTGACTTTGTGAGTGCCTGTGTTTGTGGGCTGAGCCAGGAAT